ATATATGTGTCTTGTGATATATATATATATATATTTATTTTTTTCAACAAAAAACTAAAAATCCACTTTATATAAAACGAAATACATAGTTTTTAATAAAAATCTGGATTAAAAGTGAATAAAAAAGGTGATATCTTAGAGAAAAGATTTGTCCATGTATGGCATCAAGAAAAATAAGGGAGAATAGTTTTGGGGACGTAACGTCGATCATGGATGATCGATGGTGCGTGGGGCCAGGCAACGTATGGCGCTTTTCTCAAGAGCGTAAGTGCCTTTTTGAATTTCGTCTTCATTGAATGCCATCCTCTGGATCCTCTGCTAATCTTCGATTCTTCGGTGGACGAGCCTTTGGCAATTTCTCGGTTAAAATCGGGAACCTTTTATCGTCCTGACCCTATGCTGTGCCCTAATCCACTCTAACGTAAGACCCTCCTCCCTTCTTTTTCTTCTTCTTCTTCTTTTTCTTCTTCTTCTTCTTCTTCTTCTCTTCGTCACGAAATCCGGAAATTCTCTGAGTCGAATTAAATTGAAAAGAAAAAGGAAAGAAAAGAAAAGGAAAAGAAAATATATCTGAGAATTCTTATCGAAAATTTATCAAAGTTATTGTCGTATAACCTCCACGAATTATTTCAATATTTCTTTTAAGGCTCTAAATCAATGTTAAAATGGCGAAATAGGTGATCCAAAAGATGAACGCACGAATTTCCGACGTAATAAATCCACAGCGACGTTATCCTGGCAAAGGATCTCGGGATCTTTTACCTCTACACAGTCTCTTCGTACAATTATCTCGTTCGCTCTTATTCTTCTTGATTTCAAGACCTCTTTCTCTCTCTCTTTCTTTCTCTCTCTCTCTCTCTCTCTCTCTCTCTCTCTCTCTATCTATCTATCTATCTATCTATCTATCTATCTATCTATCTATCTATCTATCTATCTATCTATCTATCTATCTATCTATCTATCTATCTATCTATCTATCTATCTATCTATCTATCTATCTATCTATCTATCTATCTATCTATCTATCTATCTATCTATCTATTTATCTCTCTTTCTCTTACTCTCTTTCTTCATGTATCTATTTATCTATCTATCTATCCATCTATTTCTTTCATTTTTTCTCTCATGGTCTATTCCGTCATGCGGATGTTTGGCACGCGACATTCTATCAACAGGTTGTCACGCTTTCAAATTCCCAGCCAGGAATTGTTTGTCTCTGAGATTAATAGTAAGCCCGATACCAGTCGGGATTGTATATTATTCGTTTAATAACCATACGTTTTATGATGGAGTATAACCCTTTGGCAAACATAACTGTCTCTCTCTCTCTCTCTCTCTCTCTCTGTCTCTCTGTCTCTCTTTCTCTCTCTATTTCTTCCTTTTTCTTTTTCTCTTTTCTTCGTTGGTAAAGTCGATAATAAAAATAACTCTCTCGACGAATGACATTAAATCATATTTGACTAAGAAATATTCGATGTAATATTTTTTGCCATTTCTTAGCCCATTTTAGAAGACGATTTCCAATTTCTTCGAGTTATTATAATTGTCGATATAAAAAGTTCCGAGTGGATCCTTATGTAATTATATATTCCTTTCGAAATTCATATATTATGATCGAGCTATACGTAAGATTTCGTTCTCTTTAAATTATAAGTATACGCTCTTTTTGGTTGTATGTTAAAGTGAAAAACTTTGGGAAGAGACGTGAGATTCCTTTAACGGCGTTCACACCAAAGCTCACATGCTAACTCTCATTTGACCATGGACAGCCACACTAAGTTCTTCTCAGTGGTGCCTGATGGATGGTCATTAAGGTCGAATATTTAAATTGAATTTACGAGCTCTGGCCTCGGGCTACTGTGGCTAGCCAACTAGGAGATAGCTAGGGAACTGGCTAACGTCAGAAATCGAAAAGAAAGCCTTGATTCTCGTCTCCGTCTCGGTTTAATCAGAATCTTTAAAGATTTTACGCAAAAATTTCGTATTTTTGCGAAAAGACTTTGGAGATTCTGATGGAGATCGAAAAAAAAAACAAGAAAAAAAGAAAAATTAAAAAAAGAAAGGAAAAGAAAAAAAAAGGAAGAAATAACTCTCAGAATCTCGTAATCTTGATATAAGTTGCCAACCGATCGCAAATCTTCGTAACGATTTCATTCCATCAAGGAGAGAAGGTACTTTTCTTAAGCGGCACCCGTGTAAATCGACGTCAATTAATCAGAAATCACAGAAGCAGGATTCTCCTTCTTTACCCGGAGGCATCTTTCGCAATTAAACGTACCATGTGATTTCTTGATTTGCCATCACACATTATTACTATTATTATCGTTCATACTTCTCTCTTTACATTTCGTTAGATTTGTTCTTTTTTTTTCTTCCTTTTATTTATTTTTTTTTTTTTTCCTTTTTTTCTTTTTTTTTTTTTAATCCGAAGAAAAAGACACAAAGAGACAGGGATAAGTGTTTAACGTTCTTGCAAAGTTCTTCACGTTTCCATCGATTCTAACTCTGAATATCATCATAAATTATGGGTATAGTGTATAAAATGTTTTATATATAGAAGTGAAGATCGCGAATTAAAATTACGAAGGAGTCAAAAAACCAATCACCCGATTTACGAATTCGGTACAAAACTATGGCCCCCGAGGGCAACCGAGTCTCTCTCTCTCTCTCTCTCTCTCTTTCTCTCTCTTCTATCGATTAAAAGCGCGTCAATTTGTAGCCAGCCACTGACGCGTAATTTGCATCCAGCCTTGAGTGGTCCGGCAATCGGTCATGCCGACGTGATTTAAGCCGACGAAAGTACACGTATTTACTATATTTTGGGTTAGCCGACGTATTAATGAATAGAATAAATTTAGAAAATTTCTCTTCGTTCGTCCTTTAGTTGTCCTCTTGCATTCTAATCCGTTTTTATCTCGAATAATTATTTTCGAAAAGACGTCACGTAAATAATTAATAGTCCTCTTGACCTTTTATTAAACAAAAATTATTTTCTTTCCTTATTTTTAATCTAACAATTTGTCAATTCGTTCATAGATTATAATAACAATAATACTAATAATAAGAGTAATAACAATAATAGTAATAATAATTATAATAATAATAATAATAATAATAATAATAATAATAATAATAATAATATTAAATCGGTTACTTTCGTTATGATATTATTTCTGTTCAGTTCTTCTCTCTTTTTCTCTCTCTACTTCTCTCTCTCTCTATTTCTCTCTCTCTACTTCTCTCTCTCTCTATTTCTCTCTCTCTACTTCTCTCTCTCTCTATTTCTCTCTCTCTACTTCTCTCTCTCTCTATTTCTCTCTCTCTACTTCTCTCTCTCTATTTCTCTCTCTCTACTTCTCTCTCTCTACTTCTCTCTCTACTTCTCTCTCTCTACTTCTCTCTCTCTATTTCTCTCTCTCTACTTCTCTCTCTCTCTCTACTTCTCTCTCTCTCTCTCTCTCTCTTTCTCTCTTTCTTTCTTTCTCTCTCTCTCTCTTTCTTTCTCTCTCTTACTCTTTCTCTCTCTCTCTCTTTCTTTCTCTCTCTTACTCTTTCTCTCTCTCTTTCTTTCTTTCTCTCTCTTACTCTTTCTCTCTCCTCCCGTTATGAAGGAGAACGAAAAGACTATCGAGTTACGTGGGCAGAGTGCGAACTTGACACCGGCAAGGACACCTTTCGAAAGGAGGAAATAAAAAAATGTTTGTACCGGTTCGTTAAAGGACACTCCGAGTCAGCTGTCGAAGTCACGTTAAAGATCGAGAATCGATCTTAGTGTTGTCGCATCATTAGAATCGTATTTAATTTTATATGTTTAAGAATAGTCAAAAATGTTTAAGAAACGTTCGTCGTATATCATTCATCTTCCGACGTCTCGTAGAGGCGACAAAAAATTGGCGTAGATATAATTTTGGCGACAATTCGAGAATAAATCATCTCTCTCTTACTCTCTCTCTCTCTCTCATTCTCTCTATTAAGAGGAGAATCATCGAATTATTTTCTTCGCGTCGAAATGGAATCGGCACTAATTAACGAAGCCTTCCAAATTGCATTTTATTTTAATCGGCTTGGATCGATACCGATTGGCGCAAAGTCGACGTCGCAGCTTGGATAGAGTTGCATAAATTATAAGACGACGCTCCGATATAGAGAATTCGTTTCGATCGCTTTCGAAAAGGAAACAGAGAAAAAGAGAGGGAAAGAGAGAGAGAGAGAGAGAGAGAGAGAGAGAGAGAGAGAGAGGGAGGGAGGGAGAGAGAGAAAGAGAGAGAGAAAAAGAGAGAGAGAGAGAGAGAGAGAAGAGAGACAGAGATAGGAAAGTCTTCGAAGGTCATACAACGAAGGATTCAACTCGTCCTGGATCCTCAGGCGTGGCTATTCTGAAGCGATCCACGAAAGGAACTCGTCGATTTACGTAATGATCTCAAAGTAAGGAGCTGTCGGCGCCAGCGAATCAAGCTAGCTGCTAGTCTTCCGTGTCCTTCCTGTTAGTTCCTGTCTCGCCTGTCCACCATTCGTTTTCCCTTCGAAATAGCTTAACTTCTTTGTTTCTTTTGATAATCGTCGAATTTCACGAGAAAGAGGATACGTCGGAAGGATGACGAGAGGTTAGAAATATTCCGATGCTCACTTCTTTTTTCCTGTTTGACGAAGGGAAGGAGGGCGAAGAAAGACAGATTAAAGCGTTACCGTTCAACGGAAGAGAAGAAGGAAGAGAGGGAAAGAGATAGAAAGAGAGAGAGAGAAGAGAGAGAGAGAGAAAGAGAGAGAAAGAGAAAGAGAGAGAGAAAAAATGTCCGTGCAGCAGTAGCCAGTCAGACGGGAATGGCCCGAGGCTAAGCAGTGATAGACAAGGTCAGCCTCTCCCAACCGCTGACGTTGCTCTCGCTACGCTATCTAGCCTATTGAGCTACCGAGTACAAGATCGAACGGCTTTATTTAACGACAACAAAGCTATTATCGAGATACGAAGGTATAGATCAAATTTTTTTTGTTTGTTTCAGATCTTCGGGAGCAAGGCGGACCTGCAGCTCCATACGCAGATGCACATGCGCGAGGCGAAACCGTACAAGTGCAACCAGTGCTCTAAGGCGTTCGCAAACTCGTCTTACCTGTCGCAGCACACGAGGATCCACCTCGGCATCAAGCCGTACCGCTGCGAGATCTGTCAGCGGAAGTTCACGCAGCTGAGCCACCTACAGCAGCACATCCGCACGCACACCGGCGACAAGCCGTACAAGTGCCGGCATCCAGGGTGCACGAAGGCGTTCAGTCAGCTGAGCAACCTCCAGAGTCACTCTAGGTGCCACCAGACCGATAAGCCTTACAAATGCAACTCCTGCTACAAGTGCTTCTCCGACGAGCCCAGCCTCCTCGAGCACATACCAAAGCACAAGGAGTCGAAGCACTTGAAGACGCACATCTGCCAGTACTGCGGCAAGAGCTATACCCAGGAGACCTACCTGGCGAAGCACATGCAAAAGCACGCGGAGAGAACCGACAAGAGACCCCCGATCATCGGTACCGGGCTCAGGCCGTCGATCCATGCGATGGCCGCTCACCATCAGGATCATTATTGGCCGAAAATGAGTCCGGACTCGGTGATTGGCGATCTCCACGAACGGCTACCACATCACCATGCCGAGTACCATCAGAATCAGAACCCGGAGATGCTTCTACCTGGCCATGGGCATCGCTCCGCCGAGTCCATAGAGAACGACTCGAGGCAACAAACGCCTCAGCCCGGACCCGCGGGTAATCATCATCCGAACAGTAGCTCGGCCTTCACGCCGATATCCTCGATCTCGATAAACTCGATATCCTCGATGCAACATCCCCTCAATCCCCTCAATCATCTTCATTATCCCGCCAGTCATCATCCAGCCTCGAGGCCTTACCTGTACGAGGCATTCAACTCGACGCAAAAGTCCTCACCCACCTCGTCCTCCTCGGGCGTTACGTCCGGAACGACGAGCAATCAGAACGCCACCTCCTTCCCTAATCAACTGATCAGCCTACACCAGATCAGGAATTATGCTCATCAGCCGAATCTCGGCAATCTTGGGAACCTCAGCAACCTCGGCAATCTCGGCAACCTGAGCAGTCTCAACGCCACCATGGAGAGCCACGCACTACTCGGAGGACTCAAGGAGAAGCAGTAATCTCTGTTTCTGTCGATTAGAGCGGGATTAGACTCTAGGGAAATCTATTTTGTTCAAACGCCACCTTTATTTTTCTTCTACTCATCATCTTCTTATTCTTATTCTTATTCTTATTCTTATTCTTATTCTTATTCTTATTCTTATTCTTATTCTTATCTTTATCCTTGCTCTCTTTTTATTATTATCCTTATTATTATCGTCACACTTATGTCTAGTTACAAAGTTGGCCCGATATCAGGGACCTGCTCGATCCATTTCCTTCGGGCTCTCCCTAAAACTTCTTTTCTATTATTTTTTTTTCTTTTTTTTTCTTTATTTTTTACACTTTTCTTCCGAACGCTCTCCTTTATGTTTTTTACTTTTGTTTCTCAAATACTTTTTTCCTTTCCCTTTTTGC